GTTGGGGGATGGGAGTGGGGGCGAAGAGGGGGGGGGGTCTAGGTTGAGAGGGGATGAGGATCCTGCTGGAGGTGGGGGAGGGCCCGGCGGTGGGCTTTCGGGGTGCCTCGAGTGAGGGGTGGGGGTGCCTCGCTGGGGGCGAGGGAGCGCTGTGGGTGGGTGGCGTGCGGGGGGGCGCTGCCCAACTCCCCTCACCCCCCCCGCTGCGCCCCACAGACTCTGTACACCTATCCCGAGAACTGGCGGGCCTTCAAGGCGCTCATCGCCGCCCAGTTCAGCGGCGCCAAGGTCAAGCTTTCGGGGTGCCTCGAGTGAGGGGTGGGGGTGCCTCGCTGGGGGCGAGGGAGCGCTGTGGGTGGGTGGCGTGCGGGGGGGCGCTGCCCAACTCCCCTCACCCCCCCCGCTGCGCCCCACAGACTCTGTACACCTATCCCGAGAACTGGCGGGCCTTCAAGGCGCTCATCGCCGCCCAGTTCAGCGGCGCCAAGGTCAAGGTCCTCTCCGCGCCCCCCCAGTTCCACTTCGGGCAGACCAACAAGACCCCCGAGTTCCTGAAGAAGTTCCCCGTCGGGAAGGTGGGTAACGGCGCCGCGGGGGGGATGGGATCTGGCTGGGGGCTCTGCCAGGTTTCCAGCCGTGAGTCATCGAAATCGGACACGGCTCCGCTGCCACGCTGTCCTTCTGCCCCGGCTCCTTGTGCTGCGGGGGGTGGAGGGCAAGGGGTCCCGCTTCGCGTTGAGGGGCACCGTGCGTCTCCCCAAGGGGGGCTCGGACGGTGTTTGTAAGGGAAGCTTTTCTCTCCAATGCTTAGCAAGGGGGAAAGGCTACTCCTAGGAGCTGGGGGTGCCCCGAAGGTGGGTTCCCGTACCCACAATCCGTGGTTCCCGTACCCTACTGGTAAACGCTTCTTTCTCTGCCAAGGTCCCGGCTTTCGAAGGCGACGATGGGTTCTGCGTGTTTGAGAGCAATGCCATCGCGTACTACGGTGAGCCCGGTCCCTCTCCAGCTTCAGGGGGCTCCGGTCCAGGCAGCTCTGAGTCTGTCAGAGGTTTGGGGCTGGGGGGATGGATGTTGGGGGCAGCGTGGCGCGTCTAGAGCGCTGAGAAGTTTCCTTCTCCAGTGGAGTTGGGGGGGCCAGGGGGGGCTCTTCTGCTGCTGGTGACTGTGGGCTCCCTTCTCAGTCAGTAACGAGGAGCTGCGGGGTGCTAGCGCCGAGGCCGCCGCCCAGGTCATCCAGTGGGTGAGCTTCGCAGACAGCGACGTCGTCCCCCCTGCCAGCACCTGGGTCTTCCCCACACTGGGCATCATGCACTACAACAAACAGGTCTGTGGGAGCCGGGGCTGTCCTGCGGGGGGCACGGGGCTGTCCTGCAGGGGCCTGCGGTGAGGTGAAGGCTGGGATTCAGTGCCACTTCTGTCGGCTGTGGGCTTCCTGCTCCCCTACTGCCTTTGCTGCCCCAGGCACAGAGCGAGGTCCTGGCTGCCTGGCGACGAGGCTAGGTGGACGCTCGGAGGCATTTGGTAGCTGAGGTCTGTTGTCTTTCGACCTGGCTCTTGGCCTGGAGTCAGGGGAGGGGTTCTGGGCTTAGCTATTAAGAATGGCTGGGCGTGGGGTGTCCGCACCCTGCCTCTTTCTCTGGTCCCGCCAGGTGAGACCCTGGCGACTGCCCGAGTGGGTTGCAGGTGCATCCAGTGCTCGTGGGCTCCCCTGCTGCAGTGGACGCCCAGGCCAGGGTAGTTGGGTGGACTGCGCTCTGCAGCGGGAGCTCTCCTGCCGGAGACCTCCCTGTGCTGACTGCCTCTTGGATTAGTGTCTGAGCACCTAAGGGATGGGCTAGAGCTAGGGAGGAGGCTTTTCCGCATGGGTTTCTCTGGCCTGGGTGCTGATCTGGTGTCTTTGCTCCCCCAGGCAACAGAACTCGCCAAGGAGGAGGTGAAGCGGGTACTGGGGATCCTGGATGCACACCTAAGGACTCGGACCTTCCTGGTGGGCGAGCGCATCACGCTGGCTGACATCACCGTCGTCTGTACCCTCCTCTGGCTCTACAAGCAGGTGCGGGCTGTGGGGGGAGGGTGGCTCCGTGGGCACAGCCAGCAGCTCTGGAGGGGGCTGGCAGCTTTGGAGGCTCTGGACAGGGGCTGCTGTCTAGACGGATCACTTGGCTTGGCCTGGAGCTCTTGGTGTCCAGGACAACAGAAGGCTGCCTCTGTGTGTGCTGCGTAGCCGCCAAGGTTTGTGGGGGAGGTAGAAGGGGACCAAGATCCTCTACGTGCTGTGGCAATGGGGCCAGCCCCAGCTGACTGGTGGCCTGTCCCTCCAGGTTCTGGAGCCATCCTTCCGCCAGCCCTACGTGAACACCAACCGCTGGTTCGTCACCTGCATCAACCAGCCGCAGTTCAAGGCCGTGCTGGGGGAGGTGAAGCTCTGCGAGAAAATGGCCCAGTTTGATGGTGAGGAGCTCCCTGGGCTGCGAGGGGGGAGCTTGGCTGAGTCCCCTTGCCTAGGTGTCGGGGTTTGTTCCTGCCTCCCAGGAGCAGCCACTCGCCAGCATTGCCCAGGCTGCACCTGGAGCTAGTGCAGGGGGCCCATCCCACACCAGCACCTCCTCACAGGCTGGCCCTGTCCTCGCTTCCACTGCAGCCAAGAAGTTTGCTGAGAATCAGCCCAAGAAAGACACCCCCAAGAAGGAGAAACCAGCAAAGGAGGACAAAAAGCAGCAGGCGCCACAGCAGCAGGAGAAGAAGGAGGACAAGAAGCCGGCCCCCGAGGACGAGCTGGATGAGTGCGAGCAGGCCCTTGCGGCTGAGCCCAAGACCAAGGACCCCTTCGCACACCTGCCTAAGAGGTGGGGATGGACCCTGTGGGGGGGGGGGGGGGTGTGTTGACCAGTGCACCCAAGGGGTGTCCCCCTCCACCCCTCCCATGTGTCTTCCAGGCTTAGCGGGAGGCAGCTGGGTCTCTGTTCCTTTTTCCCCCCCCTTCTCTCCTGGCCTCTTCTGGGCTGCCTGCCACCTGTTTTGTTCATGCCAGTGGCTGGGGCTGCAGCCAGGCGGCTCTGCGCGCCTGGATGGAGCAGGGCAGAGCTGCCTTGTCAGGACAAACTGGGGGAAAGGGGGGGCACGGTCCAGCCCCTCCCTACCAGAGGGAGGGGACCTGAGTCAGCTGGAGCCACCAGGGGGCAGCAGCTGCCCGCAGTGCCCCGGCTCCCACACCCTGCCACGTGCTGCAGAGCACTGGGCCACCGCCCGGCACATCCTGCTGGGGAAGTGGGGGCTTGGGGGCTGCTGTGGGGAGCCCGGCTGGTGCCCACCCTCAGAGTGACTAAGCCACCGTCCCCCACCCCCAGCCCGTTCATCATGGACGAGTTCAAGCGGAAGTATTCCAACGAGGACACGTTAACGGTGGCGCTACCCCACTTCTGGGAGCACTTCGACAAGGAGGGCTGGTCCGTCTGGTTCGCCGAGTACCGCTTCCCCAGCGAGCTCTCCCAGACCTTCATGAGCTGCAACCTCATCACAGGTGACATCCCCCTGTCCTGTCTCTCTTCCCCCCAAGCTGGAGCCTGACTGCGTTGGGGGTGTGCTGGGGTGCTGCCCTGACAGTTTTCCTCCCCCTTGCCTCCCGCAGGCATGTTCCAGCGCCTGGACAAGTTGCGTAAGAACGCCTTCGCCAGCGTCATCCTTTTCGGCACTAACAACGACAGCAGCATCTCCGGCGTCTGGGTTTTCCGTGGCCAGGAACTTGCCTTCCCGGTGAGTTTGTCATGGGTGTGTTATGCTGGGTGGGTGGGTGCACGTGCGTGTCCTCCCTCTGCTGACACTGCTCTTCTCGCCTCCCCCCAGCTGAGCCCCGACTGGCAGGTGGATTACGAGTCCTACACCTGGCGGAAGCTGGACCCAGACAGCGAGGAGTGCAAGACGCTGGTCAAGGAGTACTTCCTGTGGGAGGGTGACTTCAAGCACGTGGGGAAAGCCTTCAACCAGGGCAAGATCTTCAAGTGAGCTGCTGCCTTCCTGCCTGGCAGCACTGCACGGACTGACCAGCCAGCTGGGGACTGCGGGGTGCCGGGGCCTGTGATCGCAACCGAGTGACGTGACGAATAAAACCCCAATGCGCTAGCATCCCCGGGTCTGTGCTTCCTGGGGGCTCTGCCGAGAGCTGGGGAGGGCAGCAGCGTTCACCTGGCTTCCACGGCCCCCATGGGCTGTCACAGATGGCCCACGCCTGGTGAGAGCAGTGCTGGCACTGGAGCCCGCTGCTGCTGCTCCCTTTCCCATCCCCCCGCCAGTGACCAGGTGTGCGGGACCCTGCACTGCTGCCCCTTTTTACCATGATTCCCCTGGCCAGCGGCCTGCCCCACTGGGGCTCTCCCAACAGGCATCGGGAGGGTAAACAGGCAGGGCAGGGCACACAAAGGCAGGTGGGGACAGGGCAGGGCCTGCTTGGAGATTTGTTGCTTTGTGCTTTGTCCCAGCTGGATCGGGAGCAGAGGTGGCTCCTAGGCCGCTCCCTCTCCCAACCCCGCCACACCATGGGATAAGGCCGGCTCTGCATGCTCCAGGCCAGAGCAGGATGGGGGTGGAGTGCTCTCCCTGGGCTGCAGGGCAGTGACTCCCTTCACCTCCCCGGGGCTCTCCCAGGCCCTCGAGCCACGACTCACCCCTACGCTGGGGGCTCTGACAGGCATCCCCTGCATGTGAGCTGCAGGCACTGCCCCCCCCACCTCCTCCTCCAGTATCTCTGCTGCAGCTAGGCAAGGGGGAAAGTCCCAGCTGGGGTTGGGGCTGGGAGCAGCTTGTTCTAGGGCAAAAAACCCTATTGCAGCCCCCTGCCACGCCCAAAACAAGTGTATTTCTACCCCCCTCCCCAGCTGTAGGGTGTTGCACTGTCCTTTTTGCCCCTGGGGCATTTGTGGGGGGGGAGGAAACCAGGACCCAGCTTGAACAACCCCTCCCCGCCCCGTCTGTTGGGGAGCCCTTGGGCTGGCCTGCCCTAGCTGCAATTGTTTCAGGGCTGGGCCAGGTTCGTGGGGGGGGGGCGCTGTTAATCGTATCCATCTGCCTTGTCCGGGGGCCTGGAGGAAGCGTGACTCACTCCTGCATCCTGCATCCAGGCGGAGGGAGGATGTGTGGCTGGCCCTGTGAGGAGGGGGCTGGACTGTGGTTTTATTTCGGGGGTGGTGGAGGGGGGTGTTACTCCTCGATCCCTCCGGGCTGTGCTCAGGTGCTGTGAGGGTGCCGGACGCCTGACCCAGCCCCACGCTGTTGCTTCCATGCTGGTCTGGCTGCCTCTCCCACTCCTCCCTGCTTGCTCTCCCCCACCAAAGGCAGTGGGGGGGTGTGTGTGTGTGTGTGTGTGTGTGTGTGTGTGTGTGTGTGTGTTGAGGGAAGAGGTCGAATGTTTTTCACCAGCCCTTTCTTGGGGGGCGGGGGAGGAAGGCCAGCTACTGCCTGTGCCTCTCCAGGCCGCCCAGCTGTGCTGCTGTCTCCGTGCCCCCCGGGGTTACCAGGCTCTTGTACCCGGCCCCTCCCTAGCCTAAGCAGTCCAGGGCTGGGCGCCAGGGCCTGGTTCTCTCCCAGCTCTGGGAGCAGAGGCTGGGGGAGGGGAGCGGTTTGCAGTGGAGCGGAGAAGCTGAGGGCCAGCACGCCTGGGTTCTGCCCCCAGCACTGGGGTGCTAGTGAGATGGACTGGGGGGGGCCTGGATGCCTGGGCTCTCGCTCTGCAGAGGGAGCTAAATCTTAGGGGCTTAGGGAGGAGGTCTCTGTGCGGCTGACTTAACCGGTGAGGTCCCTAAACTCTTCTCTTTCTCTGCCTCAGTTTCCCTGCAGGCACTATGCACCTCCCCAAATTCCTCCTGGGGGAAGCGAGCACCCGGCTGGAGCCAAACACGCTGCCAGAGCAGGGCCTGAGCTCAGAACAGCGCGCGTCTGTCTGTGGTGAGGCGGGGGCGCTTCCAGCCGCCCCCAGGCTGGTAGGAAAGCGCCCCCTCCTCCAGCGTGTTGGCCTCCCCCGGCCCCTGCTGCGGGGTGCAGGGCAGGGGTGGGAGTGCCAGCCCCCCTCCCTCTCCCAGGCACGTGACCCGCCCCTGCTGGCCCCGTGCCCGCCCGCCCCAGCGCACATCTGGATCTCGTTTCGGTTCTTGCTCAACCGGCCCCACCCCAGCTCCTCGCTGGGGCTGCTTGCAGCTCTGACTCATGCTGCTCTGCTGCTCGGAGGCAGCGCGGGGAGGGGACTGTTGTACCAGGAGCACCTCCGTGGCCCCCCTACCACCAGGGAGGGCAGCTGGGGGGGGGGGACCTGCCACCTCCTCTCCCTTGTTGGGGCCAGGAAGGGTGCAGGCATGGGGCAGCCCTTGCACCCCCTGGGCCCAGCTTGGCTGTGACACTGCCTCGCTGGGCTGGGGGGGGCCCACCACTGCTTCCCAGGCAGACCCCGAAGCAGGCGGCTGGGGGGTAGGGAGCAAGCAGACGGTGGGCACGGCAGCGGGAAGCCCGGGGCTGGGCTTGGAATGCGCGGCTGGAATGCTATCAGCCCGGGAGGGGCTGTCCGGCACCGCGCTTTCGTGTGCGCTGGGCTGGGCTGGGCTGGGCTGGGCTGAGCCGGACGGCCGGGAGGCAGGGACGTGCGCCTGGGAAACACGTCTGTGTTGGCCGGACACGTGGATCCCCGGGGGCCAGGGTCCTTGTGAAGGCTTGGGGCGGGGGGCAGAGCACCCAGGTGTAGTTGGGGGTGAGGGGTGGGTATTGTCCGAGCAGAGCCATGCAAGCATGCATGGGTGCATATGTGTCACAAGTGTTCGTGTGCCGGCGCGCTATTAACCCTTTGCAGCCTGGGCTTGCCTGCACAGGGGCCTGGGCAAGGCTCTCCCTGTGTAGACACCGCCTGGGGCGGCAGTGGGACCCTTTCTTCTGTGTGGGGGCAGCCCTGGGTTGGGGTCCGGACCCTTTCTTCTGCATGGGGGCAGCTCCGGGGCGGGATCCGGCCCCGCACGGGGCAGCCCCTCTCCTCTACGACCTGCAAGCCCGGGGCCCTGCCGAGCTGCTGGTCCACAGCGCAGGGGCTGGGGGGACCCTGGGTGGCGGAGGGGGCGTCTGCAGGCCTTGGTCTCCCGCCCAGCGTGGGAGGCAGGCGGGAGGAGGAGCCCAGGCCCCACCGCTAAATTCCTGTTTGTTTACTGGCAGCCTGGAGGAATGCGAGCCCGGCCGAGCCCAGGCGCGGCGGGGGCAGGCGCTGTCTCTCTTGCAGCTTTGGCAGCGCAGGGAAGCCCCTGGTTATCCCCTCGCCTCTCCCCCGCTTGACTTGCTCTGGGCAGGTTCCTGCCTGCACCCCCCAGACAGTGCCCAGCTGCAGCATGCCTCCCTGCCCGGTTCCCACGGCCTCCGCCGGCCCCACGGCGCGCGGCCTGGCTGCGGGCCGGCCTGTGTGTGTGCGTGCAGCCCGCGAAGGGGCAGGGGGCAGCTGCGTTGCTGCATCGTCCTGGGACCAAGTGTCTTGCTCATGCATGTCCTTCCCCGGCAGCGGGGATGGGCCACCCTGCTCTCTTCAGCCCCAGATGATCTCTGCTGCAGTGCAGGGCGAATAGGGGCCAAGCACCATGGCCCCTGCTGCTGTGAGACCCGTGGCCCCCGGGCTCGAAGAGGAAGGGGCCCGACCTGATCCCCTACTCCCTGCTAAGGAGGCTGGCTGCAGCCCCTCGCCCCGGGGCCTGCCTGCAAAGGTCTCCGGGGCCGGGGCTCCGAGGAGCCGCTGGATTTTTTTGGCCGCCTGTTGTGGGTTTTTCCATAACAACTTTGGAGTTTGCAGCCCTTCCTCCCCCCCCACCGTGGCCCTGCTGCTGTTCCCGAGGTGGCCGGCAATTCTCCCGCGGAGAGAACGGCTCGATTGTTCTCCACGCCGCGGTTCGGCCAGGAGAGGAGGAAAAAGAAAGAGAGGCGCTTTGATGGGGAGGTTGGGGCCAGTCTGGCGGCGCCCGGCGTGGGCGTGAGGGAGGCACAGAGCAGCCAGCGCCCCCCGAGTTGGATGCCTCTTGCGACCAGAGGGGCTGGAAGGGACCTCGTGAGGTCACGTCTGTGTAAATCCCTGTTTTTGGATCCACAGCGCATCCGTGCCTTGAGCGTTTCCGGTCCCCGCACCTCCACGGGGGTCGAGAAGGGCCACGAGGACGATCCAGCGCCGCGGGGGGGCTTCCCTGGGAGGAGAGGCTAACGAAGCCAGGCCTGGTCAGTGGAGAAGAGACGCTGGAGGGTGGGGGCACGACGGGCTTTACGAAACGGGGAAGAGGAAGTGGATAGAGATTTATTATTGACCGTCGCTCCCCACATAAGAACAAGAGGTCACAACGTGAAGCGAGTAGGCAGCTGGTTGAAAGCTAGTCCCGGCAGTTCTTTTCCAGCCGATGTGGCATTAAAGCACGGGGCTCGTTATCACCAGGCGTGGGAGAAGCGACGAGTTTAGCCAGATTCCCCAAGGGAGCGGACGCACGCTGGGAGGAATCGGTTGCTATTGAGCACGGGAGCGAGGGGCACGGCCTCTGATTCAGAGCATCCTCGGCCTTAAATGCTGGAGGCTGCAAGTGGGGGAGAGGAACAGGGGGAAAGCCCTGCTCGGGCGCCGTTCTCTCTCCCTCTCCGCCGCCGCTGCGGGACACGGGCGGCTGGGCCAGACGGACCTAGGGCCTGACCCAGGAAATGGCAGTACTTACGGTTACCTCTAGTCCTGCTCCAGGTGGGATCCTCCTGGACTAACCCGCCCCAGCCAGGTGTCTGTCTAACCCAGCCATTTGCAGCCGGGATGGCATGGCGTGGCACCCTGGGGCGCCTTGAGAACCGCTCCGGCGTGCCCCCGAGCTAGCTCAGGTGTGCCAGCGGGAGTCACCAGGTGAACCCAACAACCGCAGACAGGAATCCGGCGTGCTAAAAACCGTCTGCCTGAGCCTTTAGCAACAGAAAATTGGGTCACTGTTATTTTCCTGTAGTCAAAAAAATGAAGGGAAGCTAATGGTGTTTTCGAGTCGATCAAGGGTATCCGGAGTCTCAAACGGGTGAGACCCACCGGTCTCTTGACAGCTTGCAAGGACGGAGGCCGCTCTAGGAGGTGGGGATATCCCCCACGGGGGAGGAGC